AGTGCTTAATATTTCTTGGGTACTTTCTATGTGCCAGGAAGTTTTACATACATTATCTCATTTTAATCACAACAGTAACTATGAGGTAGGTTCTATTATTACTCCAATTTTAAAGATAAGGAAACTGAAGCATTGAGAAATTGAAGGCCACACAGCTAGTATAGAGTAAATTAAAACCGAAACCTAGGCAGTCTACATCCAGGGCCCATATCCTATCCACAATTAATATGGCTTCAGTGGCCAGGCGCCATGGCTCATGCCTGTAATCCCAGCACTTTGGGAGGCCGAGGTGGGCAGATCACCTGAGGTTGGGAGTTCAAGACCAGCCTGACCAACATGGAGAAACCTTGTCTCTACTAAAAATACAAAATTAGCCTGGCATGGTGGCGCATGCCTGTAATCCCAGCTACTTGGGAGGGTGAGGCAGGATAATCGCTTGAACCAGGGAGGCAGAGGTTGTGGTGAGCCAAGATGGCACCATTGCACTCCAGCCTGGGTAAAAAGAGCAAAACTCTGTCTCAAAAAAAAAAAAAAATATATATATATATATATATGTATGTGTATATATGTGTGTGTGTATATATATGTGTATACATATATATAGCTTCAGTGAAACAGTAAGGTCTACAAGGGGAGGGGCTGAATCTTGTGCCTCCAGAGCCTAACACAGGATTGGCACAGAATGGGGGCCAACATGAAATTGCTGAAATAATAAATACAATTCAATCCTTAGATTGGCATATAGGGTCCTCCACAATCTTACCCTGACCTACCTCTCCAGGCTCATATCCCAGTACACCTGTCCCTCCTTCCCCATGCCCTATCTTCTAGCCATATTGCAGTTCCAAGAATAGGCCATAGTGGTTCACACTTCTGACTTTTGTATATTCATAATTCACTCACTCACTCATCCATGTGTTCATTCACTCACTCATTATTCATTCATTTGCTAGACACCTACTGAATGCTAGGCGGACAGAAAAGTCCTATGATAGATAGATGCTATAGGAACACAGAATAGGGACATTTAAGGGGCTTGTACTAAGGAGTCAAGAACATCTCCCAGGAGAATTAACATTAAAAGTGAGCTTCATTTCCCTGGCATGTGCAAACCCTTATTCATCTTTTGGACTTCACTCAAATGTCTCTTCCAGGGCTCTCTCCATGGCAGAACTTGCAGACATTGTGTTGCGTGTGACCTCCCCCATCAGACTACCAGATCGTCTTAGCCTCTTGGTGTGTATCATGTCAGTACAGTGTGTTCCTGGCACAGAGGAGGTACCCAATAAAGAACTGATGAATGACCAAATAAAATAATGCTCCTTTTTGTGAAAACACTCCATTTTAACTCATTGTACATATCTTTGCACTTACCCAAAACCATGGAATTGGGGCTTCTGTTCATGTACAGAATAGATAAATTTTTAACATATAAATGAGAGAGATTAGGGAACACCTAGCACTACTATATCATTTTATTTTAGACATGGATATATAAATTATGTAAAATAGCAATGTAAACATATACTCACACACTCATATACTTTTGTCAATTCAGTGACTAATAACTTGAAGAAATAAGAATTCCCACAATAAGGCACATTCTCCTGAAAGCTTTGGGAACTATGGAGAATACTACATAACAGAATGCTAGTATATTTTCTGAAAGACAAGATGATCCTGATGACTTCCTCATCAATGAAAAATAACTTTTTCATTATTAGAAATGAGCCCCAAAGGTTAGGCTGCTAATGTGCTTTTGTATACGTGTGCAAATAAATGCCATAAATAACACTGTAGACTAACATCAAAGCACACTTCTGTCTCACTGCTCTTCTTTTTGGGGTTGACATTTGAAGAGGTTCTTTGAAAATTATAATGAGATACAAACTTACTCCAACGTCCCCTTCTCTACTAATACATGAAGGGCTGCTGTGACTGGCTTTCAGTGGACCAAAGGTCTTATAGGAGTTGCTTAGGGAGAAGCCTCACATTCTGCAATACTGCTTCTGTTTGAATGTGTAAACCTGAGCTACCTCTCCCTCCATTCTCTCCTGCCCTCCCCAACTCTCTCCCTCTAGATAGGTTTCTAATCTGTACAGTGAGTAGCTGGAACTATAGCAGGAGTCAGTAAACTTTTTTGGTAAAGGTCAAGATAGTAAATATTTTCAGCTTTGGACCACATGGTCTGTGTTGCAACTATTTAACTCTGTTATTATAGTGCGAAAGCAGCCACACAGAATATGTAAACAACGGGTACGGCTATTTCCCAATAAAAATGGGCATGTCTATTTTTCAATAAAAATTTATTTACGAAAACAGGTGGTGGGCCAGATTTGGCCAGTAGATCATAGTTACAGACTCCTGGACTAGAAATATTCTAGGATCCCTGTAAGCTTTTCTCTGCCTTAGTATTCAATTTTCATGAGCCTGTGAGAGTTCACAATTGGCAGACAGCTGGAAAAAAAGAGAAGCAGACTTTGAAGAATCATTGGCTGTGTGAAATTACTATATTTGACTTATCTTTTCACTTGGAGTCTTTTAACTTTGTAGCATAATGCCCCTATTATATTTAGCAATTAGAGTGCCATCACAAAGTAAAATGTAAAACCATTATTCCCTGAAAAGAGAAAAGGCTGTGGTATGAAATGATGCATGTGAGGAGTGTGGGTGATAATTTACTCATATAATCATTTCTATTTCAGTTCTATGGCAAGTATTTCTGGAGATGCTCAGATGGCAAGGAGATCTTTAAGATGTGCATGCCATAATTAACCTTTTTATGTGCTCTGATAGAAATATCAATAGTCTTTTCTCCTTTAGCACTTTTAACTTTACTTATGGTCTACAGAAATGATTTGAAGAATAATCATTATAAGGGAAATAAGCCTTTATATCTTGGGTTTAAAACAAAATATGTATATTCTTCCTATTATTTTTACTTTATGGCTAAGTTCTAGATACTGAACATCTGCATTTCTTTTTCCCTCCTTGCAAAGGGAACTAGACCAGCCAGTGCTTCTGTAGAGTGTAGATCCATGATGTATGAAGTGTAGTCTCTGGACTAGCAGCATCAGTATTTGCATCAGCATCTACTGGAAACTTCTTAAAGATGCAAATTCTCCAGTGCCATCCCAGACCTACTAAATAAGAAACTCTAGGAGTGGGCCCAGCAGTCTGTTTTAGCAAGCCCTCCAGGTGATTCTAATGCCCACTAGAGTTTAAGAACCACTGGTATAGATTACATTTTTACCTCATAGAAGCACAAGTTAAAGGGAAGACCTGGCCTCATATAAACAGCAGAATAACTGTACAGCCTGGACATTCAGAAGGCACAGAATATAGGCAATAAGCCTATAACTACATTATAATCAGAAAAAGGGGCTGAGAAAGAAAAACAATGGGAAGAAGGGAGACATAGAACTTGAACGAGTAGGAGCAACTGGAAAACCCAGGGTTCCATTTGCAGCTGTGGCTACAACCCTCTATGATTTAATGGGTGAAGACTGTGCTAGGTGAAGGGAAACAGAAATGAAGAGAACAGTCTCTCCATCCGCAGAGAATTCACAGTATTAGGGTGGAAAAGGAAAAAAAATGGCTCCCTTGAGAATTTACAATAGACCTAATATTTTAAGTCAAAGGAGGCTGGGCGCTGTGGCTCATTCCTGTAACCACAGCATTTTGGGAGGCCAAGACAGGAGAATCACTTGAGCCTAGAGGAGTTCTGGACCAGCCTGGGCAACAGGGCAAAACAATGTCTCTAAAAAAAAAAATACAAAAATTAGCCGGTCTTGGTGGTGTGTGCCTGTGGTCCCAGCTGCTTGGGAGGCTGAGGTGGGAGGATAGCTTGAGTGCAGCAGGTTGAGGTTGCAGGGAGCCATCATGTCGCCACTGCACTCCAGCCTGGGAGACACAGTGAGACCCTGTCTCAAAAGAAAAAAGGATCCAAAAGAGAGAGGTTGGACATCAGGAGTCATAGAGGTAAGATGAAGAGAACAAAGAAAATAGAGGATATGAGGATAAACAGAGTGAGTATTAAAAATTTTATTTGTACTAGAACATAGAACATTTAGGAAATTTGTTCTTTTAATTCCTCTAATTACTAAAAGGTGAGCTCTGCTTTGATCTGGAGATAAAAACCCCTGACTTTCTTTATTCTTTTATTGCTTCACTGGACAGAACCACAGGAGAATTGCAACCAAAAGCCTTTCATTTCCTCATGATGCTTATCGCTAGCAAATAGCCATAGTAACACACTGACATAAACCATTAAGCTATGTATGGGTTGGTGCTATTTAAAGAATGTTTGCTTCCCCACCCAACCCCATTCTTATGTTGAAATCCTAACCCACAATGTGATGGTATTAGGAGACATGGCCTTTGAGAGGTGATTAGGCTATGAGGGTAAGAGCCCTCATGAAGGGGATTAGTGTCCTTATAAATAAGAGACCCCAGATAATTCATTTGCCCCTTCCACCATGTAAGGGTGAGAATACAGCCATCTATAAACCAGGGAACAGGCCCTCACCAGACACTGAATCTGCTGGTGCCTTGATGTTGGCCTTCCCAGCCTCCAGAACTGTAAGAAATAAATTTCTGTTGTTTTTAAGCCACCCAGTGTATGGTATTCTGTTATAGCAGCCTTAATGAACTGGAAAAAAAAAAGAAGAAGAAGAAGAAAAAACAAAACAAAACAGGAACAACGTGTTCTTATGGTAACACAACCTGGTCATTTTTCAAGTCCTACCACAGAATATCAATCTTGGAGCCTCATCATAAAATCATTTTTGGGTTCCTAAGGAGAATGTTATAGGTAAGACCATGCTACCAAAAAAATAACACCAAATCAAAGATCATAGTGTTTTCTGGAAGATTTTTAGAAGTCATCTTTTCAAAACAGTCTCAAATGTTTTACAAAATGACTTCACTGTTTTAGTAAAACATATATATATATGTGTATATATATATATTTTTTTAAATTCAAACAATACAGAAAAGCACAAAGAAACAAGTAAATAATTTCCCAAAGTAAAGATTACTAACATTTGGTGAATAGAATCCACAAATACAAATAGAAAGCTAGACAATGAGGAACGGTTTCACAGAGAGATATCATATGGTACATGCTACTTTTTAAAACAAAATTTTTATTTTTGAATAATTTTAGGTTTATGGAAAGGTTGCAAAGATAACACAGAGTGTTCTATACCCTTCAACTGACTTCCTCTATTGCTAACGTCTTACATTACTATGGTACATTCATTACAACTAAGAAACCAATACTGGTACATTACTATTAACTAAATTCCAGACTCTTTTTAAATTTCACCAGTTTTTCTACTAATGTCCTCTTTCTGTCCCAAGATCCACATTGCATTTAGTTGTCAGGTATTCTCTTAGGGCTCTCCAAAGAGACAGAACCAATAGGATAAATGGGTATATGCATAGAGAGAGAGACACAGGAGTTAATTCTAAACCTAAGAGTCATGTGACTATTAGGCATACCATTTTAGAAGAAATTGGAAATAGAGTTACAACCAGAGCAGCACAAGTAGTTAAGAAAGCTCAGAACACCAAAGTACCAGTTCAGCCCAGGGAAACAACAAATGTCAACGAACAACTGAAACCTACTGCTTCTGTGAAACAGTACAGATGGAAATGTTGGTTCCAAACGGTCCTTCTCCCGTACCTGAGGATGCCTCCATGAAAGAAGAGAACATCTGCCAAGCTTTTTCTGATGCCTTGGTCTGCAAAATTGAGGATATTGATAATGAAGATTGGAATAACCCTCAGCTCTGCAGTGACTACGTTAAGGATATCTATCAGTACCTCAGGCAGCTGGAGATTTTGCAGTTCATAAATCCACATTTCTTAGATGGATGAGATATAAATGGACATAAGCGTACCATCCTGGTAGACTGGCTGGTGCAAATCCCCTCCAAGTTTAGGCTTCTTCAGGAGACTCTGTATGTGTGTGTTGCCACGATGGATTGATTTTTACTGGTTCAGCCAGTTTCCCATAGGAAGCTTCAACTAGTTTGGATTACTGCTCTGTTCTTGGCTTCCAAGTATGAGGAGATGTTTTCTCCAAATATTGAAGGCTTTGTTTACATCACAGACAATGCTTATACTATTTCCCAAATCCAAGAAATGGAAACTAATTTTGAAAGAACCGAAATTTCAGTTGGGTGGACCCTTGCCACTTCTTAAGGCAAGCATCACAAGCCGGAAAGGCTGATGTTGAACAGAACACTTTAGCCAAATATTTGATGGAGCTGACTCTCATTGACTACGATATGATGCATTATCATCCTTCTAAGGCAGCAGCAGCTGCTTCCTGCTTGTCTCAGAAGGTTCTGGGCCAAGGAAAATGGAACTTAAAGCAGCAGTGTTATACAGGATACACAGAGAATGAAGGATTGGAAGTCATGCAGCACATGGCCAAAAATGTGCTGCAAGTAAATGAAAACTTAACTAAATTCATCGCCATCAGGAATAAGTATGCAAACAGCAAATTCCTGAAGATCAGCACAATCTCTCAACTGAACTCAAAAACCATCAAAGACCTTGCCTCCCCTCTGATGGGAGGGTCCTAGGCTGCAGTGGCCCCTGGGGATGTGTGCTTTATTTGTGCACTTTTTCTTACTGGTTTAGAACTCTTCATTTTATACATAGTTCTCTGGGCTATTTCATGAAACCTCTTCTCAGATCAATTTTCTAAACGTATATTGAGGAAAAATAAAGCTACTGGTTTTTCTTAAGGTAAAAAAAAAAAAAGAAGAAGAAGAAAACAGAATATACCCATTTATCCTACTAGAGAGATCCTAAAAGAGATTTATTATAAGGAATTGGCTCATGCAATTATGGAGGCCGAGAAATCCCAAGATCTGCAGTTGGCAGGCTGGAGACCCAGGGAAGTTGACATGTATTTCCAATCTCAAATTTAGCAGGCCGGAGACTAAAAAAACAGCCAATGTTTCAGTTTCAAGTCCAAAAGCCAGAAAGGAACTGGTGTCCCATCTCAAAGCAGTCAGGCGGGAGGAGTTCCCCCTTAGTGAGTCTTTTTGTTTTATTCATGTTGTCTTCAAAGGATAGGATGAGGCCCACCCATATTATGGAAGGCAGTTTGCTTTACTCAGTCTACCTATTCAAATATTAACCTCATCAAGAAACATTGTCACAGACACAGAAGATTAATGTTTAACCAAATGTCTGGGTACCCCATGGCCTAGCTAAACTGACAAAAAATTAACCATCCCAAGTCTACATGCTATTTTCAATCTGTTATGTTAATATAATATCTGATTTGCCAGATCATGCCGTGTCACCCTCTGCTTTAAATGTGCAAGCAGATAGCTCTCTAGATGCCCTATACTTCTGTCTCTACCAGTTCAGCTGGAAGCTTTCCAAGAGTCAATTTGGGTGTTTGAACTCAAACTTTTTTTAATTATATAATTTAAATAAATGTTAAGAAAACTGACAAAATATAAATGCAAAAAGAACACATTTTTGTTTCCATAAAACCTAGGTTGAGTATGTTAGAAAAACTGGATATAGAGTGATTAAAAATTTGCTTTCAGGGTGGGTGCAGTGACTCATGCCTGTAATCCCAGCATTTTGGGAGGCCAAGGCAGGAGGACTGCTTGAGCCCAGAAGTTTGAGATCAGCCTGGGCAACACAGCGAGACTCCTCAATTTTTTTTTTTTTTTTTTAAGTTTGCTTTCAAAATAGGTGTGAGCATGAAACATAGGGGGCCGGGGGAATCTAGGAGGATTCTACACTCAGTTCCTTTCCAAGTGTCTTTCAATTCTTGTTTTGTTTTTTAAAAATTGAAACTGAAAATCTTAGAGCGTGGTAATTCATGCAAAAAAGATGGTGAGGGGGAATTCCAATCAGGGGACCACTCTCAAAGAAAAGATCTTGGCCCCAAATTAAGAGACTGGCAAATGGCAAATGACTATATATAATTTATGTTAAATATGCCATTGGGGAATATATTACTCTGTTTTCACATTGCTAATAAAGACATAGCCAAGACTGGGTAATTTACAAAGGAAAGAGGTTTAATTGACTCACAGTTTCACATGACTGGGGAGGCATCACAATCATGGTGGAAGGCAAAGGAGGAGCTAAATCGTGTCTTACACAGCAGCAGACAAGAAAGCTTGTGCAGGGGAACTCTCATTTATAAAACCATCAGATCTCGTGAGACTTATTCACTACCATGAGAATAGTGTGAGGGAACAGCTCCCATGATTCAATTATCTCCACCTGGCCCCACCCTTGACACATGGGGATTATTACAATTCAAGGTGAGATTTGGGTGGGGGACACAGCCAAACCATATCAGGGAAGATGAAAAAGTTCTGGCGATGGAAAGTGGTGATGATTGCACAACAATGTGAATGTAAGTAACCCCATGGAACTGTATACTTTAAAATGGTTAAAATGGTAAATTGTGTGTTACACATATATTATCACAATAAAAATATGCAAAGTAACTGTATTTTTTCATATTCCTTGTTTCAACAAATACTTTATTAATGAAAATTTTTGCATTCACTAAGCAGGCTTATTCTGTAGTAAGTTTATTTTTTATTTTAGTTTAATAGAAGAAAAGGACACCAACATGAAGCTGAATGAATTTCAGGTAAATGATTCCCTTTTGAGATTTTAAGAGATTTTAATTCTCTAACATTGCTCTAAATTTAATAGGAAAGACATGAAAACCTGTAAGAGGTTACAGCAGTGGTTCTCAATCTATGGCAGTGCCAGTTCCCTAGGGTGCATCTAGAAATGCATGGACATGTTTTTGATTGTCACAATTATGAGGATCCTGGCATTCTCCAGAGACGTCAAACATCTTATTACGTACCTGACAGACCTGACATCAAAACATACCCAACCCAAATGTCAATAGCTCCCCCAGTGACAAACATTGGGGAAGACTCAATGTATGTTTTATTTTTATTTTTTTCTAATAAAATCCAATCTGGAATTCAAAAGTTTATTAGAATAAAAATACATGTACATTACAATTATTTCACATAATTTGTAAATTTTACCACCATTCATTTTTAAATGATTTTAAAGTTCGTACTGTAAATATCTGCACATTTGTAAACAAATCTTAAATTACCAAATTTGCAATGTATCTATTAGATATTGAATATGAAAATTTAGGATTGGCAACTGATAGTTATATCCTACTGTGCTTACTATTTCTATGACATTTTAGAGGGAAAAAAGATTAATTCATTTTAAGTGAAAAATATGTAATATTTCACAAATTTGTGTATCATCCTGTGTGTGCAGGAGCTATACTAGTCTTCTCTGTATCATTCCAATTTTAGTATATATGCTGCAAAACCAATCAACATATTTTAAAAATTATATTTCAAATTTTTATAATATCTGACAACTTCCTTATGAAAATTAATAAAAGAGACATAATTTCACTTTATTCCTCCTCTCACCCTCTTCCAAATGCATTTTGTTACTTATATTATTCTCCATAATGTCTGGGTTTTTAACATTTACATGTTGTTCTGAAACCGTAATTCAAACCACTGTTTACTCTTCATTTCTATTTTAAATAATTTGGTGCCCATCATTTAACTTTTCTGTGCCTGGCTTCTCCATTTCTATACTCTTTGATTCATCTACTTAGTTGCCTAGATTTTATTAATAAGAGTTTTAAATTTACTTATTTTTATTCTATAAAAGGCTCATGGATTCTTATTTCTTTACGTTCTTTCATGCTTACTATCCATCTGTTGCATTTATCCTTAGGAGGATAATTTGGGCTTAAAATTTTAAAGTCATTCACTGTCTTCCTCAGAACGTTGTAGATACTGCTGCATTGTCTTTGGCTTGGAAGAGGGTGTGGAGACGTCAGGGGTCAATCTTATTTTCTCTTTCATAAGTGACTTGTTTTTTGCTAGTATATACCCATATTATTACTATTTTAAACCATTTTATTTTACTATATCAAATGTAATATATTTGATACCTATACATAATTAAATATAAAATATGTAAATTATAATCAAAATAAGATTTAAGCTTTTAAATAATCATTCAATTGAAGAACTAAAAGAATCTCCAATAGCATTGCATCTACCTATGGATTCCTCCTCTGTCCCATGTGCCTCTTCGCCCCCTGAGACAGCAACTTTCCTGTATGGTTATCCTTCCTTTCAATATTCATAATGGTTTTGTCATGTAAGTATGTATCCCTAAACAATATACAATATTATTTCATTTTACTTATTTTTAAGTTATATAATAATACTATACATTGTCTTTTGGAACTTTTTTCATTCAACTTACTATTTAAATTTGTAAAGACTCATGTTGCAGTGTGTTACTATACTCATTTTTAATAGCATTGTTATACATAATTTGCATCATCAAGTTCACCTGTTTCAAGTATATATTCTAATGGCTTTCAGTGTATTTACAGAGTTGTATACCCATCATTATCTTGTAACTTCAGAGTATTTTCATCACCCTCAAAAGAAATCTTGTGCCAATTGGCGGTCATTCCCAGTCTCCCTCTCCCCTGCTTCCCTATCCCCTGGCCTGACTTTCTGTCTTTATTGATTTGCTTCTTTTTAGGCATTTCATATAAATGGAAACATTCAATATGTGGTTTTCTTTCATTTAAAATAACATTTTTGGCTGGGCGCGGTGGCTCACGCCTGTAATCCCAGCACTTTGGGAGGCCAAGGCGGGCGGATCACAAGATCAGGAGATCGAGATCATCCTGGCTAACACAGTGAAACTGCATCTCAACTAAAAACAGAAAAATTAGCCGGGCATGGTGATGGGCGCCTGTAGTTCCAGCTACTGGGGAGGCTGAGTCAGGAGAATGGTGTGAACCCGGGAGGCGGAGTTTGTAGTGAGCCGAGATCGTGCCACTGCACTCCAGTCTGGGCGACAGAGACAGACCCCCATCTCAAAAATAAATAAATAAATAAATAAACATAAAATAACATTTTTGAGGTTCTTCCATGTTGTTGTATGTATCAGTACAATCATGCATCACTTAAGAACAAGGATATGTGCTGGGAAATAAATTGTTAGGCAATTTTGTTGTTGTGCAAGTATCATAGAGTATACTTACAAAAACCTAGATGGTATAGCCTACTACACATGTAGGCTATACGGTATAGCCTAAGCTACAAACCTGTATAGCATATTACTGTACTGAATACCGTAGGCAACTGTAACACAATGGTAAGTATTTCTGTATCTAAACATAGAAAAAGTACAGCAAAAGTATGGTACTATAATCCTACCGGATCACTGTTGCATATGCAGTCCATTGTGACAGAAACGTCATTATGTAGCACATGACTGTACTTCATTAGTTTTTGTTGCTAAATATGATTCTATTGTATGGCTATACCACATTTTGCTTATCCATTCATCAAAAACATTCATTTTCACTACTGTATAATATTCTACCAAGTAAATATTCTAATTTATTTATTTAGTCTCCTATCAAAGGATGGATATTTTGGTCTTTCCAGTTTTTTTTTTTTTCTTTTGTGAATTGTGCTGCTCTGAACAAGTTCCTAGGTAACCATGGGAAGGAGTTTCTCTGGGATATATATCCAGGAGTAAGTTACACTCATTCTCGAATTTATTGGATAATGCCAAATTGTTTTTCGAAGCAATTACACAAGTTTACATTCCCAACAAAGGTATATAAGAGATCTTGTTAACCCCAATCCTTTCCAACATTTGACATTGTCCAATTTCTTAATTTTTGCCAATTCTGGGTATAAAAAATGGTGTTTCACATCAGTTTTATTTGTATTTCCTTTATTACTATTCAGAATGAGCATCCTTTTATATACCGTTCATTCACTTTTCTCCTTTGATATGCCTGTTACTGTGTTTTGATCATTTTCTATTTGTTTTTCTCAATTGATATGTACATTTTTGTTGTAACTATAAACTGTACCTTTTTTATATTACATTTTAAAACTGTTCATGACCACTGTTTAGAAAAGCAGTTGGGGAATGCACCTTCATTTTACACTGAAGGTTGCATCTCCTTAGTTTACAAACTGTTCACTGGAATATAGTCTCTTTCTTCCACATTCCTTTTCAGAGAACTCTTGTGCAGGGGCTGTATCTCATATACAATGGGGACAGCATGTTACAGACTAATACTTATATTATGATATAGTTCCTATAAAGTTTAGAAAAATGCAAAACATTGCAATTAGTATAGCAATGTTTTGTTGTTTAGCAATGTACATCTCTGTAGCAGAATTTTATAGAAAGTCTTGGCAATTAGAAGTATCAGTGTAATGTAGGGGTTACTTCTGGGAAGGGAAGGGGAAGTGGTATCAGGGAAGTGGGATCAGGTATATATAGGGGGATACAATGGTATCTTTAATATTTTATTCCTTAAACTGGATGATGTTATGAGTGTTGGTTATATTTCTCTTTCTATATTTTCTCTCTTTTTTTTTGAGATAGAGTCTCACTTTGTCACCCAGACTGGAGTGCAGTGGCACGATCTCGGCTCTCTGCGACCTCCGCCTCCCAGTTTCAAGCGATTCTCCTGCCTCAGCTTTCCGAGTGACTGGGATTACAGGTATGTGACATCATGACTGGCTAATTTTTGTATTTTCA